CACAGCCCTTTAATTTCAAGTCTACCTTTAACCCATGGTGGTCAAACTTCTCCAGCAATTGAACACCAATTAGGATGGCACCAGACTTGGCAAACCACCTCACACAGGGCCTCTTCTTTGCCATTTCACACATTCTCTCTCTCTCTCTCTCTCTCTCTCTCACTCACTCACACACACACACACACACACACACAAGATAACACCCAAGGGGAAATGAACTAAAGGTAGAGTTCTTCATGGCCTGTCATCTAGTAATAAAATACCTATCTCTGTTGCATTTAATGTCTTATTATTCACCATGCCAGGGACACACTGTCACTTACGCTGCCCAAGCAGCCTTGCAGACATAACTAGCTGATCACAGCTTGCAGACCCTACTCAGTGCAGTGCTCCAGGAAGAAAGGGATTCTGTGTGTTCTTCCTCTCAAATAACCAACTTTATGTCTTCCTTCCATGAGGAAATATCTGTTCCATGCCCAAGGGCCTAAAGGCTACAGTTCCAGATACAGCACAGTTACCTCAGCCATTTCAAAAGACAGGCAAAGCAGGTAGTGGAGTGGAGCTTTCGATTTCCTCACCCCTTCCCCACAGATGGAGGTCAGTAGTAGCAGGAGTGGGTTTTGCTCAGCAGGATGAACACTCTGAAAAGGAATGAAGATCTCCTAGCATGTCCCCAGGCTAGTGCAGGGATCTAAGATTGGGCAGGGGAAGAACAGCGATAGAAAGTAACAAGGAACCCAAAAGGAGAACGGAAGAGGAACTTCCAGGCTACTCATCAACTGAGCATCAGCCTAGTGTAGAGGTAAACCTTATGGCTCTGGATCCAAATCCCACCTCCATTATACTTAACTGTTGTCCTTGGATACATTATTTAAGCTCCCTGCACCTTGCTCTTCTTGTCTCTGAAATGGAAATAATCCCAATACCTTCCCATAGCATTACTATAGGAATAAAATGCATCCACTTGTGAAGTTTCTAGCACACACTACATGCTCAAGGAGAGGTACTTTATCATCTTAATAATTCCTATTACCTGACATGAAATTATTGGAATATGTAATGCAAGATTGAGATAAGGGCATTGATTGCCTTGCAGTAAGTCCAGACATGGGGCATTGCAAACACAGCTGACCAAATCAGAGATGCTTTGCATCATTCTGTTCTGAATCTCCAGGTCAGCAATTGTTTGCCCACCATTACAAGCTGACCCTGAATTTCCAGGTATGGGACGGGTGGGTTCCAGCAAAGGAGACAGAAAGTGATGGCCGTTGGTGCTGGAACTGATATTCTATGAAGATGCAACCTGAATCCAATACAGAATGGAAAGACATATCTTGCACATGTGCACACATGGAACTCACTCATGTATGTTTGCTAATGGGCCATACTGCATGCCTCCAGGTGTCATAGGACACAGCAGAGGGGTTCCACCAGGGCCACCAACCCTTAGACTGTGGTGTTTTGCATTATCTTATCTCCACCCAGACCTCTCTACTAGATAGTAAAGCTTGTGGCTGAGTTTAACCAGGTTAATTTAATCTTGAATAATTAGTCCTTTGGGAAAGCCAGAGGCTCTGATTCATCAGATGCTGCAGCCTCTTCACTATAAGCAGAATTTAATCTGGGAGCTACATCATATGAAAATAAGACTGCCTCAACTACATACATTCAAATTGTGATGATAATGTAAGTGGGCAGACTTTCCTAGCAAGGCTTGTTAAGGAGTTCAGAAGCAGAGGAGCTTTGGAAATCTTTTAAGCAACCATAGTTGCTTCAAGAAAATCATATCTATTTGCATATATACAGTACATGAAATCCCCTGCAACTCAATTTCATTGTCTTTAAAATGGGCACAGTAATATCTACCTCCTCCAGAGACTTACTGGGAGAATAAGTCTGGCAAGACAAGGGTATAAATAGCCTGGCACGGTGGCCGTCATTAGTTCAATGGTGGTCCCCAGAAGATATGTCCACCTAGATGGAAACTATGAACATGAACTCTTTTGGAAAGAAAGAGTTGCAGATATAATTAAGGACCTTGAGACGCAATCACCTTGGATTTTCCAGCTTGGCCTAAACTCAATGGGAATATTCTTTCAAGAAGAAAGCAAAGGGAGATCTGAGGCACAGAGAGGGCCATGAGACCACAGAGGCACTGTGCTCTGTCCTTGCTGCGCCTCCAACAACAGCACGTTCTTTCCTAGGCCTTCATCTGGGGTTTTTCGTTTTGGTTTGATTTCTTAGCTGATTAACAAAAACTACAGTGTAACTTATTCCAAGAAGGAGTCCATGTGGTATAAGTCAGGATAAGCCTACAGATCACCCCCAAAGCTCAGTGAGTCACAACAACAGACCTAACAGGACCTGTCCAAGCAGGGTGGGGGCGGGGGCGTCTGCTCCGCGTCACCTGCATACTTCTTATGATGTTGGCTCCTTAGGTGACACTGTGGGGTGACACGGCAGGACAATGAGGGAGGGACAAGGAATCCTGCATTGGCATTTAAATGCTTGCACATGTCGGCTCCCCTCTGCTGCATTACAATGGCTTGAACCACTGACATGGGAAATTGCAATACTCAGTGAACCAGAATTAAGAAAGAAGCAGATATTAGTGGCTATTAGAAATATCTACCGTAGATGTGGGTCCTGCCATCTCTTGGCTTCCACATTTTAACAATTACAAAGATGCCTAATACAAACTGAAGATCAAGGTAGTGATCCCAGGCCCTGGAGTTTCTGTGTGGTTATGACCACCTAATGCTGGCCTGACCCTCCAGACTCCACTGCAAAGCAGCTGTGCATTATAAGAGAGCACAGCATATCACTGTCATTTTCTTTTCCTTCTGGATGACAGCTTCCCTCCCCTCCTCCCGCCACCCTCCATAACTACGATTCATGGGAATTCAGGCCCCAAGAGCCTATTAACCTTAGATGCTCTGCAGGGTTCGGTCTAAAGAGCCCAGATCAATGAGATCAAGGAAACAGTTTCTCAGAAGTCTCTAACAAAAAGCAGATGGCTGGCAGGCAGCGTGCGACACGGAGATTCATCTTTGTGAGCAGCTGGCAGAGGCCAAGGAGAGTGGTCATTTTTCTAACAAGCTCGGAATGGGGATGGATTTTTTTTTTTACCCACTAAAGGAGCCAGTGGTTAGCACACAGTGCTCTTCCAGGAAAACAAATACGCAGTTGGGATATTCGTTTTTCGACCATTATTAAGTGTCTTTGGCTCGATTTTAAAAGATTTCAAATAGAGCAGTTCTTTCAACCTGTGCTCCTCCCTCTCCACATCCCCACCCTTTCATGGAGTCTCCAGCGCCTGCCTGTGCAGTGACAACTGCCATTTCATCTTTCATTTCTATACCAGAAAATGTAGGTCACAGATCTTGGACGTGGCCTAGTTTCCCAGCTCCAAATAGAACTCTTTCCCCAGGTTGAAGCTTTTTTTCTAGGTTTATGTCTAATAAAAGTGTAGCCTGCTTAGCCAAGCCAAACGATCCAAGGGCTGACCTCCTATCTACCCAGCTGCTGAGCTGGGATCCTGGGAGGGTGGCCGGTGGGGCTGCAGCTTCAAGGATGTCTGAGGCCTCTGTTTTTCCTGGAAAGCAATTTGAGGGCCAAAACCTGAGCCTAAGGACATGGGTGACAGTGACAGGGTCCGGCAGGGAGAAGGGGGAGCTTCCACTCAGCCCAGTAAAGCAAGGACAGCGAAGGAAAGATTCACAGGAGCTCAGCACTGTGGGACATTTCTCAAAAGGCTTCCTGTGTCATCCCTGCACAGATGGGCTCAGGGTCTTTCCATCGTTCTCACTCCCTTTCTTCTTTCCCCTTCTTCTTTCCATCCTTCTTTCTTTCCTGCCTCCCTCCTTCTCTTCCTTCCTTCTCTCGTTCCCTTCTTCCCTTCCTTCCTCTCCTTCTACCTTTTTTTCATTCCTTCTTTCCTTCCTCCCTCCCTCTCTTCCTTCCTCTCTACCTTCTTTTGTTACTTTCCTGCCTTCCTCTCTTCCTTTCTTCCTTTCCTTCTTTTCTTTCATTTTAGCTTTGCTTTGATTTTGATTGACATATACACTGTATGCATTTATGGGGTACAGTGTCACATTTTGATACATGAATATGCTGTGTAATTATTCAATCCAAGTAATTAACATAACCATCACCTTAAACATTTATTGTTTCTTTGTGGTGATAGTGACATAGGAATGATATTGGACCTCCAAATGATATAGAGGAAATAATATAACTCCCAACCTGTTAGACATCAGATATGCCAAGCTCATGTTCCCCAAAATCAAAGGATGAATTCTAAGGAAACACAGAGGTTAAGAGTAGGAAATATTGATTGAGAGATAAACAGCTCCTGCCTGAGAGAGACAGAAGGGAACATGGAGAGTGGGTTGCTAATGAGCCCACTTTCTGGAGGGATTTTAATAGAGCAAAATCACGAGGTGAGTACAAAATCACAAAGTAGGTACAATGTGGGACAAAACTATTATCAACCAATAAGGTTACAGGTATAGCCACTTAGGTAATGTTGATCCAGTGGGGAAGTAGGTCAGAGAGCAAGTGTACATAGAAAGAACAAAGAACTTTTTGGGAAGGGATGGGTCGGGGGGTCTTGGTCACCCACCAAGGTGACTGATGCCTATCTAGACTTTACTGGATGAGGTGTTACCACTTATCTTATCCTTGGGGAGGCATGTAGGCCTGGTCATTCCACCTTTATCTTGAGATCTGGCCTCCAACAGATGTGACTCTGACCACAGTTGTAATATATTTTTCATCTTTTGCATTGACTCAGGGGTCCAGCTCTGTCTGACTGCCTATAATATTTCTACCTAACTTAACTATCTGTAATAATAGCATTCAAAATCTTCTGACTATTTTGAAATACACAATACATTGTCATTAACCACAGTCACCCTACCAGAACTTGTCCCTCCTACCTGTGTACCCACCCATCAGCCTCCACCCCTTTCTACCTGACCCCTCCCTCTGCCCACTCACCTTTCTTCCTTCCTTCCTCTTTCTTTCTCCACAGAAGAAATCCAACTTCATTCTGGAAAATTGGAAAACACAGATGAGCTTAAAAGGAAAATAAAAACTATCCATAGTATGACTAGAGAAACCCTTTCTAACATTTCTGTCTCTGATTATTTTGCTATGTAAATATGCTGACATAGACTTATTTTAATGAAACTTGGATCATAACATTCTCCAGCCTGGTTCCCTCCCTTAACCCCGCTGCTTTCTGGTTGATTTATGTGTGTACTTTTGCATGCATATGCATGACCTTGGGATTTTTTTCTGAAATTACTGAAGTTTATAAAATAAATCTAACTTGAAAGATACAGCCTGTCAGTTTTTTAAAGATTCTTCCATCTAGTGTTTCAGAAAAGAGGTCAGCAGGAGCTAGTAGGGAGGCAGGCGCTGTGAGATCCCAGTTTGGAAGTGCAAGGTCTTTTTTGCTTTTGCAACCAACAGGGTGTGTGTGTGTGTGTGTGTGTGTGTGTGTGTGTGTGAGAGAGAGAGAGAGAGAGAGAGAGAGAGCAGGAGAGGGAGAGGGAGAGGGAGAAAGAGGGAGCTTTCTCTGCAGATGATGCTACAGGAAGAAGTGGCCTGGCCACGGTTTCTGTATGAGAGCAAGGTGATGCCCCACAAACCTCTGCCACCCTCCCTGAAGATTCCTATACCCTTCCTGGTGATTCCTATGCCCCCCTCAGCAGGGCAACAGAGCCATGTGTGAGTCACATGGTCTGAACATCTCTTGCCCACCAGAACCTACCACCATGGATCATGTCCACACCATGTTCCTGGCCAGTTTCCTGGCCAGCAACTCCAGACCAAACCCTGGCCAAACCAGCAAACCTCATTGCTACCCAGTGACCAGACCATCCCTTCTCGTCTTGGTTCTAACACCATCCATGTTTGTTCTTCCTGGCATACAGTCCCTCAGCCCTGGGAAACATGTCCAATTTCCTTGTGCCTTACAGCTGCTCTGTCATCACAATCACTCCAGATTAGACCTGCCCTGTCCCACCCGGTGTGCAGTTCTTATCTCTTGATTGGACCCAGAAAGCCACAGTTGGGTTTCTGACCCCATTCTCTAAAGCTGCAGGCACTTATGCAGCCGCCTGGTACAGATTAGGCCCATTTATTGCAATACCCAAATGGTAATGGCCCCAGGCTCTACCTCCCCTCAACATGCACGCACACACACACACACACACACACACACAGAGAAACTTTCCTCTTGCTCACAGCTCTCAAAGACACTGTCCCTGCAGGATCCACCCAGCTCGATCCCCAGGTCACCACAATGCCCAGGCCTGTCCTCCTGCCTGTGGACCCCAATTTTTGTATGCCACAAAAACAAGTGCCTTGGCTCAAATGGAATCACACTACAAGCTTACCTTCTCCTGCAGCACCTTGAATTTCAGTGGCTGTGTCCTTGTCTTGATTATTTCTCTACTTTGTTACTGAAACAAAATACCCCATGCTCAAAATTAAAGAGGGAAAGGTTTACTTAGCTCACAGCTTGTGGAGGTTTCAGTCCATAATCAGCTGGCCCGAACGCAGGGTGCATGGCTGAGGGGCAATTGTTCATGGTGATGGAAGACAACAGAAGCGACAAGAGCAGAAGGGAGAAGCAGAGCAAGCCTCTTTCCCTCCCTTATGTGGTACACAGGCTACCCGCCCCAGGGCCAGTGCAATACTCACACCTATAATCACAACATTTGACCATGAATCAAGCACAAACCCTAGAAGCCCACCCGGTGACTGCGTGAGGCTTTGAGGTGGACATCCAGACACAAACCATAACAGTTCCCCATTCCAAAGTAGGCTCGTGGATGGCTCTACATTTGACCTAACCTACAGCCGTGCAAGAAGGAACGGAAGGTCTTTCTCTCATTTAACAGATGAGGACCCTGGGGTTCCCAGGTTCAATGATTGCTTCTAACCACACCAAGAACAAAAGACATTTTAGGTGTGAATTTGCTGATTCACAAAGAGCTTTGCTTTGACATCACTGAATCACTCACAGCGATAGGAAAAAGCTCATTTCTACATAGCTATAGATATCTCCAGTCAGATGGGGTGGAGCACATGAACCTCAGTCCACATAGGCTCTCCATGTCCAGTCGCACATTTTAAGCACTGCTCAGCTGCAGGCTTCCATGGGCACTGAAATTCTATCTTCACAATATACACTAAGCCCAGGGCTGGAGAAGTAGACCCCTCTGGTATCTCACTACTACTTTTTGTGTAGTTCACAGAAGCACACTGAACGTCCTAGCAGCTGAGGTCTCACAGATTTCACACCACTTGAGGGTATCCCCGCTTTGACCAGCAAGGGCTCCCTGTACCACAGAGCCCCTAGGCAAGGTGCCTAGTGGGTGGATGGCAGGGCAAGGAGCAGGAAAGACAAGTCATTTTTCCCTGCAAACATTCCTGGCTCATTTGTCTGTCCAGGTTCCCAGGAGGACATCCTCTTGCTGCTGCCTGGCTCTCTTGAGCGCTGCAATTTACCTTACTCCTTTCTCCCACGTTGAGGGGAATCACATGCATCTGCCCAGACCCAGTGCATCGGGGATGTCTCCGTGGACTCTGTGCCTCTGTCCCCTTCCCAAGCTTGCTGCCTTGCCTGGGGGACAAAGACACCAGGGCAGGGTCCCAGATAGTGTAAACCTCCCTCCATCCTTCCTTCCTCTCCCAGCTCTGCCACACACCTTTTTTTTGTCTTTATTTTTTATGAGTAAATGTTTGCCATACACATTGATCACGTTTATCCTAGGGAATTTGTAACTGTACATAATCGTAATTCTTCTTTTCTCCCCTTCCAGTCCCCTCCCTTCAACCTTTCTTCCCCCGCATTTACAAAAACTTTGTTTTATTTTTTTTCTTCTATTCTGTTCTTAAATCCCATTTCCCTTCCTTCCCTTCTTGCTCCTCTCTCCCTGGTTTCCCTCGCCATTTGAACAAGGTTTTCCTACTTCCCAATATCTACCCTCCATTTTACTCTTTATTCACCCATTGGGTTTCTCACGCAAGAACAACAAAATGATCTTTAAACTTGTGTGTCTGATTTATCTCACTGATAGCCACATACTTTTTAGACTACTCTGTCTTTCTCCTATTCCTCTCAAATATTTTGTCTACCAAGCAGGTGTCTCCATTCTCCCTAGTGGTCTAAGCTTTGGAACACTAAAGTCATAGAAATCCTTCTTCCTTTGGTTTTCAGCCCTGCCTCAGAAAGGTCTGATGTGGGGGAAAAAGCAAAGAGGAGCCATTAGGAGGGTAGAAAACGCGAAGATTGGTGGTTCAGAAATATGGTGGCCTCGCAGTTTTGCTAAAGTAACCACACAGCAGGAAGAAAAGGTGAACCTTCCGATTTGGTGGCAGAGCAGAACAAAGGACCTTGCCCCTGTGCGGTAGTGGCTTCCAAGTGCCAAGCATCCCAACTTCATGACTGAGTGCCAGACCTCATGTCCAATTCAGGTACACACTCAGGATGATACTACAAGTCTTGGTCAGCCGGTGTGTGGACTGAACCGAGACAGCCTCTGATATCTGCTATCTTCTCACGAGCCTTCATATCACCAATAAATTTCTCTTGAGCCTCAGAAATGAGATTCTGTGTTCAGAGACAATCCAAGCAAAACACCAAGACAATGAATATCAAAACTTCAGACACAGAGCCAAGGAACAGACTGAAAAGAACCTTGCTTGAGAGTCTGTAAGCTGTGCCCAAGTCACAATTCCTGTCCACTGTTGGTCCCGACCAGCTCCTGAAAGAAAACAAAAACTAACTTTAGCAGATGCCACCTTCAGTAGAAGCATCTGTGGTCAGACTCACTCTTGCAGTTTATATGTTCATGTCTCCCAAAGCCTCGTGTGCTCCTAGGCAGGGTTTTGGGGGGGGTTTGATTGTTTGTTTGTTTTGTTTTTAATTTTATTTTAAAGAGAAAAAAGCAATAATAAAATAACAACAATGAAGACAAAAACAATAAAAACAATACAGGGTTTCAAAACAAGATGATGGGAATTAACCATGGTTGTTATATTACATATTGTTATCTTCAGCAAAGTTGCTCAGATTACCAGATATAAGAATGCAAGACTGATCAAACAATTAAAGACAATAACAAGTAATAAAAAAATTAGAAATGATACAGAGCTTCATTAAACAAGATGTTAGGAATTCCACAATGGTTGTTATATTGTGTATTGTTGTCTTCAAATTAGTTGTTCCACTTACCAAATGTAAGCATGCAAAATTGGTCAAGAAAAAAAAATTTTAAGCCTAACAGTCCCTTTCAATAAACCAATAGACATCAGCAATACACTTATCTCAACTATCCTCATATATAAATATATTTTTTTCTTTTTGTTTAATTTTAAAGAGAAAATATCAAAAACAAAATAACAAAAACAAAGGCATAAACAAAACAATAAAAATGATACAAAATGTCAAACCAAGGTGACAGGAAATTGACAATGGTTGTTATATTACGTGTTGTTATCTTCAAAGTACTTACTCAGATAAACAAATATAGGCAGGTAAGATTGATCAAACAATTACACATTAACTGTTCCTTTCAATAAATCAATAGAAATTAGTAGTACAATTATCTTAGCTATTTTGTGTATATAAATATACCTATTTTTCCTCTTCTTTTTTCTTTTTTTCTCTTTTTCCTTATCCCAGTTGTTCCTTCCTATTTGAGCAGTTTCTTCCCTTTCCCTATTGTACTTTTCAGATTTTATATACTCTTTCAGGTTCTTATACTAGGGAGGCAATACAATGTTTACACATGTGAGTCTTATTTATCTCACTTATGAGTATGGTCTCTAGTTGCATCCATTTACCTATGAAAGCCTCAAGTTTATTTTTCTTTACAGCTGAGTAATACTCCATTGTATAAAAATACCACATCTTTTTTATCCATTCCTCAGTTGATGGACATTTGGGTTCTTTTTAAGATTTATCTATTACAAATTGGCCTGCTGTAAACATGGGTGCATGTATATCACTGTGTATGATGTTTTCAGTTCTTCTGGAAAAATACCCAGAAGGGGAATAGCTGGGTTGAATGGGACCTCTGATCCTAGTTTACTGAGAAATCTCCAGACTGATTTTCACAGTGGTTGCACCAGTCTACACTCGCACCAACCATGGAAAAGCATTCCTTTTCCCCACAACCCCTCCAGCATTTGTTATGGGTTGATTTCTTGTTGATAGCCATTCTTTCTGGAGTGAGATGGAATCTCAGTGTTGTTTTAATTTGCATTCCTCAAATGACTAATGATGTTGAACATTTTTTCATGTATTTATTTGTCATTTGTATTTCTTTATCAGAGAAGTGTATATTCATCTCAGATGCCCATTTTTGTATTAGGTCTTTGAATTTTGGAGACATGATTTTTTTTAATTCTTTAAATGTTCTAGACAGGAGTCCTTTGTCTGAGGGACAGTTGGCTAAAAGTTTTTCCCAATTCGTGGGTTTTCTTTTAACCTTGTTGGTGATATCCTTTGATATGCAAAAATATTTCAGTAAGATGAGATCCCCATTGTTTATTCTTTGAAGTATTTCCCATGAAGTTTGGTTTTTGTTCATGAACTCCCTGCTTACCTGTGTCTTCAAGATTTCCACATACTTTCTCTTCCAGTAGATCTAGTGTTTCTGTTTTAATACTTAGATCTTTAAGCCATTTTGACTCTATTTTAGTGCACGGTGATAGGCATGGGTCTAGTTTTAGTCTTTGGCATGTGGAAAGCCAGTTATTCCAGCACCACTTATTAAAAAGTTATCTTTCTTCCAGTGAACATGTTTGGCCCCTTTGTCAAAGATAAGTGTGTTTGTGGTTGTGGCTGCATCTTCTAGTCTGTTCCTTTGATCTTCAGGTCTGTTGTTTTGCCAATCATTGCAGATTTTATCACAGTAGCTTTGTAGTATAATTTCAAGTCAGGGATTGTGATGCCACCTGCCTGGTCTTTGTTGCCCAGGATTGCTTTGCTATTCTAGGTCTCTTCTGGTTCCATATGAATTTTAGGAAAGTTTTCTCTAGATCTGTGAGATATACTAATAGCATTTTCACTGAGATTGCACTGAATCTATATAACAATTTTTGAAAGGCAAGGGAATTATGCAGGTGCTAAGTGTGACATTAGGAGGTGGGGCCTGGCCAGAAGCGGCTGGTTACTGGGGGCATGGCCTGGAAGGATGTTTCTCCCTCCCCAGTATCCCCCGTGTCCCTCTCTGCTTCCTGGCCACCATGATGTGAGCAGTTTTACCTCCACCATGTCCCATCTGCCATGTCATCCTGCCTTGGAGCCAGCAAACCATGGACTGAACACATAAGCCAAAATATACCTCTCCTTCTTTAAGTTTCAGGCTTTGTGCATTTTGTCCCAGCAACAAGAAAGTTACTAAGACACCCATGCTACCCCTGCCTCCAAAAAAGTGCTCCTTGGACCATGAAATCAAATGTTGGGGATGAAGGGCATTTCAGAGACAGCTCCAAAAGCAGCCCTTCCCAGTAGAGTGCCCTGAGAAACTCCAATGAAAAGCTGCTACCCTGCAGCACAGGAGCCCCCAAATCTCTAGGGGTTAGGGCCACAGATTCTCCAGGAAAACCGCCCCTTCAGTGCCTGCTGCTCCCCCATGGCCATACCACCCTTCTGCTCTCCTGCACCACCAAATGTGCATCTGCATCAGAGATAACCCACAGCACCAGGGAAGGGGTGAGCGGGAGGTACTGTGCCCATTCCTCTGAAAGGACTGACACGAAGGCTCAATGCCCCACCACCAACTGCTGTAGAACACAGAGACAGCAGCTCTCTACAGTGGTTCAGCCTGGCCAGCGTGCCATGGTGAATTCTAATATGCATCCTTCTGTTCCTGCTAGCAGACAAGTCTCAGAGACCAGAGGGGGCAGAGAGCTGCTCTCTCAATTTCCCTGCCCCGTGCTGACCTCCGGCCCCAAGTGAACTCCAGAGGAGATAAAGGACTGAGGCTGATCAGTTCTCCTGTTTGAAGATCAGTCTGGAAGTCGTCGTTCATGAGTGCCTTTAGTTACACTGCCATTGCTGCCTCACTGTTCTAAATTGATTCAAACCATTTACCTTTCATCATCATTTTGACTTTGGGGAAGAGCTAGAACTTGTACAATACCAGATTCAAGGAACAAGGTAGATGAGGACACACCATATTTTTACACCTGACTTTCCACTGGATGGCACTCAGCAGCAGCATTCGCCATATTTTTTATCACACCTGGTAAAGACATGAAAGAGGACTTTCAGAACTACTTCGGAAAGTGGCAAAAATGAAGGTGGGACAAGTGTATTTGAAGCAAGAGGGAATATTTTAAAGGGAACTAATTGCAATGTGTCTTTTACAATAATAACTTCTTTTAATTTGATCACCCCTTGTATTTTTTTTCATATTATGTGAGTTGCTGCTGAAAACCTGATTCTGACTGGCTTGAACAAGAAAGGGGACTAATCCAGTTCAAACACATGCGGGCCTTGGGGTGCATGGTGGTCAGGCCTGGCCCCGGTTGCTGTTACTCAGCATGTGCCTTTCCCATAAACTGGCTCTGAGGAGCAGGCAGGGGTTCCTTGCTTTCTTTGTTCCTTCTGGAAGCTACAGCCCTGCTGCCTACCCTGGAAGCCTGAAGAACGTCTGGAGCAGTTTTTCTAAGGCCATCAGGTATGCAGCCCATCACCAAGGCAAGGGATAAGGGGCATCCCCTGTGGGTGGCACCGCATCACACACACACACACACCACACACACACACACATGCACACATGCACACACACACACATCCTGGAAACACAGCCCAGAACTGGCAGCCTGCCATGGAGGAGCAAACTCAGCAGAGTGCAGCCCAGGGTGACAATCTAGACATGTGGTTACCTTCCCAACATCCTTATTCCTCCTGTTCAACTGCGTGTAGTCACTAGGTTGATTGAACGGGCTCAACACACCTCAGCCACAGGATAGGGCCTGGCTGGGTTAGCGGTCCCACCCACAGGGATGCCCCTCACCCCTTGTCTTGGTGACGGGCCACATACCTGATGGCCCACTCCTGCACTATTATATCACAATGTCACTCCTTCTTAAGAAGGCTCAGGTCTGAACCACTGACTTAGAGTAATGCTTCTCAAGCATTATTACAACAGGAACCTCTCTGAAAGCTTGTTAAAATGCAGGCTCCAGCTCACTAGCTGACTTATTAACAGATATGTTAGTGAAACCCAAGAGTCTGCATTTCTAGCCAGCTGTGCACAGACAGGCTTAGAACCACCACCTTAAGGCACACAGGTAGTGCCCAGCCCACTCTGAAATGGCACCAGTGAGAATCAGTCTTGCCATGAGGTGGAGTGAGTAGAGGCTGGGGTTTATCCTGCCTCTTGCTTCAGAAGACCCGTACCTTGAGCCCTTGAGTTCTCTGACTTCGCCTCCCTGGGCTAGAAGATAGCCAGATGCCTCACTGGGGACCTGGGTTTGAAAGCTGGAATCTGAGACCTTTTATGGAGCTCAGTCTTCCTTTCTATAATAAACAACAGCTTTGAGACTCCCACCTTCGGAGTTGTGCAGCTGGGAAAGAGCTGGACAGGGCTGAGAGGCCTGGGGAGAGCCGAGACTGGCTGAGTCCTAGGGTGTGGACATCAGAGTTGGTGGTGGGAACCAACAGGCCTTGGGGACAGGCTCAGGTGGGCCTGTGGCATCACACCGGGGCCCTGAGCTGGGCAGGAGGCCTGGCTCCACTGTCTTCCTTC